CTCTACAGAAAATAACACAAATATGGAGACATATTCCAGCTCATACATGCGCCAATTACTTAGCTCAGTCATCTCTGATGCAGTTCCGTCTTTAAACAAGATGTCCCTGAGATAAGAGGCTACCAAAGTATTTAGCATCCCATACTGAGACTTTACCAATCTCCCAAGAGACCAAAGCCTTATCGTCGAGTCTCCTACTATCGTCTCAAAATTTTCTACTAGACTATAAAACTAAGAGAAAATTTATAGAGATAGTTCTTCGGATAATATTGTTAAGAGAACCGTGATGGGACAATCTAATTTTCTTACATAAAATACTATGGAGCTAAAAGACCATCACTAGACCACAAGAGTGTGGTACGTGGTTTATATTGTGATTGAGCACGATTGGATCGGCTCGACCGAGGAACGACCACACTCTCACATGATTCGTATGGTGAGTATAAATTTCATCTTAGCCCTCAGGAGTAACAAGTAGCAGCACACTTTGATCTTAATCGAAGACAGATATAACACAGAGGTCACATCATCCACTTACCATTCTGTGGACTGCGTGCTCGTTTGTCTCCATTATTCTATAAAAAAGAGCACAGATATGGTTGACAGTTGGCTATACTTATATAAAAGTAAAGTAAAGTTTTAGCCTATATACGTCCCACGACTGGGCACAGGCCTCCCTTTATTTTTGAGAGGGTTTTAGGACAAGGGAGTGTCCGCCGCGCTGCCCCAATGCGTGTTGGCGAACTTCAAATTTCTTCGAAATATATATTTTTTTTCTTATTAGTGAAGAATTAGTGACAATATACTAGTTCCACCCTTCGGGCCAATCACTTCGTACTTCTGCTGCCCTAGTATCGTAAGCGACCAAACAGATAAGAAATGTATCGTAACACCTGAAAAATCAACCTCGGAATCTAACTTACGACAAATCTTAAGTAATACTGAATCTTCGCCATCAGCAAGCTTTAGAAATACGCGTACTAAGAGCAAACGCTTGGAGGAGGCACCCATAGACTTCTGCGAGTTTAAAAATGAAATAAAAGACATGTTTTCCTCAGGGATGTCTCAAAACAAAAGCGAAAGAATATTCTTCTGAGAGGAAATTTAAGATATGAGGAAAAAATGGAAGAAATGGAATGCGAAAGACGGAAGGATAAAGAATACATACTCATATTAGAAAATAAAATCGAGGATCTGCAAAAGTCATATCGGAAATGCTCATTTGAATTAAAAAATGTGCCGAAAATGGATAATGAATCAAAATCATCCCTAATAAATATGGTTACTCAATTGTCTACATCGATCAAAGTTGAACTCAAAACCAACGATATAAAAGACATTTATAGATCCTCTCACCACATCTGAGGATGAAAATCTAAGGATTATTGCTGACTCCGTAATACACCATACCATATTTAGATAGCTATAATAGTCGTTCATGTGATAAAATCACTAGGACTAGTACCATCAAATATCTCGGTGTAACTATTGATCAGCACCTTACCTGGAGTCAACACATTGAAAACATTGCTGACAGGATAAGGAAACTAACAAGGGTATTCAAAAAACTCAAGTGTGTTACAAATGAAACAACACTTATCACCGCCTACAAAGCTCTAGCGCAATCGGTAATGAGTTATTGCATACCTGTTTGGGGTGGTGCAGCAAAACAAATCTAATAGGACTAGTAAGAGCTCAAAGAGATCTAACTAAGTTGATGTTCTTGAAACCGTTTCGATTTTCAACTTTTGAACTACAAAAGTCTTACAAATTGCTCACTACTCGCCAGATGTATATATTGAATTGCATTTTAAAAAAGCATCGACATTTAACTTTTATACCTCATCAAACACCAAAACGTAGGAGTACCAAAATTTGCAATATACCACAAAATAAAACAAAGTTTAAGCAAAAGCAATAGGTACGTATTCCAATCTATATCTATTTCCAACAAATTCAACAGCAGATTGAATATTTACCCCTTGACGCGGACTAAAGTTAAACGTGTAGTAACACAATTTTTATTAACACTAAACTACGAGGAAACTGAACAATTTATTACATAACTTTTATACTTCGAACAGCCACACCAATTGTTAAAGCACTACTCACACAACCACAAAACACACACAAACACCCACACACACACACACACACACACACACACACACACACACGCGCACACACCAAACGCGTGCATGCTTTGCATGCATGCTTATCATGTATTTATTATTATATTCCAAATTTCATTTAGTTCCTTCGTGCCTTGCTTGATCTTACCTTGCTTTTTGTTATTTATTGATGATGACCCAGTAATACAGGTTCCCAACCTAGTACAGGGGCCCTTGCGACTGGTTTAAAATGTACCATTGTAAATCAATAAATCATTTTTCATTTTCATTTTCTTATTTCTCAGACATGCAGGTTTCCTCACGATGTTTACCTTGCACATGCACATGGTAAATCAGCACTTAAAATTGCAATTAACAATTTAATTGGTGCTGGCGAGGATCGAACCCAGTTTGCTCGCGTACTGTGGTATTTACAGCGAGCGCTAACCATCTGAGCTACCACGGCTATCTATACTTATATTTCAAATAATTTTTATATAATTTTCTGAAGGAATGTGAAGTCCGCCAAATGCACCGGAGCAGCGCGGCGTGTAATTGCTCCATAGCCCTGTCAAAAATGAAAGAAGACTATGCCCAGCTATGGGACTTTATTGACATTCACTTTATTAAAATGCTTGAATTTGATATTGACGGAAAATCGATCTGATAATGTCAATTTCAAATCGCACAGATTTGTGACGGGTATAGGTTCGCTTTCTTTAATTTACTTCTTAAGGCAGGGTTACTCCAAATTGATCTTTTAAAATCAATTTTGCAAACCTCGCTGATGTTTTTCGGATGGAAAAATAACGTAGCCAAAGTCTCAGTCTCGACGAAACTGTCATTAGAAACACGATGTGTTACTTTTTACTCCGTAGAAAAATTATCTGAAGTTGTCTTTTATTGATATTTTTTTTAATTTTCATCAAAGTGATAAATAAAAGTTATATAATATACTAAAGCGTGATATTTAGGATCTATTTCTGCCATTACCTTCGTAAATAAATACATATTATTTTCACAAATCAAAATTTAAACGGCTTTTACATATGCACCGACCGCGCATCTTGCAACGTTTAGGTATTACTCGCGGGAGAACCTTATTTTTTTTTTAATAATCAATGGTAAGTTTAGACAGCAACATACACCAATTTACTATTTAATATAATCATTGATTGTATTTAATTAACTAAAAGTAAACACGACATCATTTTTTTATATAATTGCAGCATTTCCTTTTTAAGAATTAGTCATTTCGAGTTGTTTTTTAAATAGTTGAATTCTATGCAATTATATTTTCTTTATTGGCGCTTAAAGAAATTTTGCTGCTTAGTTTATATTAATTTAACTACATAAATAATAATAATAATAAATAAAAAAGTATAAAATTTTGTTAATATATTAATTTGCATATTTACGAAATATTCTTTATTTAGATATTTCTTTTTATGTTTTGCGGCTCAAATTAATTTAATTTGCAGCTAAATTTACTCCATGTTTGTTATAATTTTCCGTTCAACTTATTGTTAAAGTAATTAAAATTAATACATTATTTATTAAGAATAGCTGAACACGAATTAATCTATATCGATAAAAAATTATCTTACAAAAAAAATACATTACGAAGGCTTTGAATCCCTTTTATATCTATATTAGTAAGCGATTTTAAGTAAAATATATAGCGAGACGTTAGTAAATACAGTGATTACTCATATAATAATATATTGTGTTTAATACAAAAGCTACGGTGTAGCCGGTCCGTAGGTAGCCGGCGGGCGGGCTCTACGGGAACGCCTACCTACGATTTTTGTCTTGCATTTTTAGCACAAGCACTCCTAATTTGCGCTGATAGCAATTTGTGTATTATTATATATTATTTAAGTTAGTAAGTACATACTAAAGCTACCTTGTCCTTTATACAAAAGGAATTAAGTTTTATTTCACAGAAACTTAAACTAGCCTGTTTTAAAGGACTTTAAATAAAAGTAACACAAATTGTTGTTATTTTATTACTGACTAGCGAACCCCCCGTCTTCTCACGGGTGATTTCTCGATCTCCACAACAGCGCCATCTACCAGGTCCAATTATGAATTAAACCACCGAGAAACCCATTCAAACGCACACAAAATAATCATCAAAATCGTGTGAGTCATTTTAGAGTTAACGAAACTAACATAGACGACATTACTACAGACGGACGAACGAATCGGACGTCAATTGATTTTCATATATTAACTTATTATTAACTTGTTATTTTTTATTCTCGTAATATTTATATTAACAAATCATTAATAATAAAATTATTTAAAACTATTAATTTATGATTTATAATTTCATGACTGTAAAAATAATAATTGAGATGAATGCGGGCGTTGTAAGTTTTGTCTTCATTACCTTTTTTCGGAATAACATTTTTAGGGAAGCGGAATAAAGTTCTTTATATAATAAATAACTTATTTAATAGAAATGAAGGAAAAAAATAAAAAATAATGCGAAAACTGTTACCGTAATAGGCGAATTCATCATTAATTCCTCATCCTCCATAGCCTACCACAAAGTATAACTGGATTATGTCATAAATATTAATAGCATAAAATGTTAATCATCACCCAGCATTTGTTTGTTTATAGTGTGACCTTTGAGCACCAACAATCACATTTTGTGCAACAATGATTAAGTAAATAAATTTTTGTACTCAAAGGTACTTAAGTATGTGTATGTATTAGCAGAAAATAGAATATAATAGAATTACCTTTTAAATAGGTATAGGTAAATTTAATTATAAGTCTCCCCTCTATAAGCAGTAGCAATGCCATAAAACTCATCACCACAGCAAAAAGTAAATACGTGAAATTGCATTCTCAGTTTTTAGAGGTGAAGAAGAAGTACTAACCAGCACTCTCCGCGGCACCAGGCGATACCGGCACCGTGTCCCCCTCATCCCTTCTTCCTTCGAACTCACTCTGCACTCTGCCGGACTGCCGGCCACTGTTCAAACCCAGTATAGCGTCTATCGTATGCCTGGGCCCCTGACTAACACTAGCCACTTGTGTCAGACCTAACCTAGACTTAACCGCGTCGAAACTTTGATTCAACTGCATCTGCTGCGCGTGGAAGAACATTCCCATTCTGTTTAAAGTCTCTAAGTTTTGCTGGTGTTGGGATAACGATAGAGATTGGTCAGTTACGTTGATGGACGATGAGGAGTTCGGACTACTCATCTGCGAGCGGGGACTGTTAGTCTCGGAACGGTCCGGCGTTTGGGAGCCGTAGAACCGGTCTTCGGAGGCGTCCATCTCTGGCAACGGCGCGAGGTAAACTGGCCCGCGCGACTTGAAAGCTCTGTGGGGTAGGGATGGGGGCGGAGCCTACACGGGGTGAAATTGCCCATTGAAAGTGCGAAATTTGGGGTTGCGATGTGATTTTGTTCGCAAGGAGAGTAGTATTAGCATTTTCCCCTTAGCGGCTCCTGTCTTGGGGCTCTCAATAGTTTTTTTCCGGATTTGATTGGGCCGATTGTGCCGGGTGTTAGAGTTGGCGCTCTGAAAGAACCTTTCGAAGTTGTTTTCATACTTGAATAAGTAGTAAATGCTTTCTTTGCTTTCATGTAATGTTGTAAGAAATTAAATTATTATTCAAACCCAAATGAAATCTTAAAACTATGCTAAAACTAATTAAATATTATAACAAAAGGTGTTTTTTTTTTCAATCTCTGTTTGACCAGAAACGTAGCGTTTATGTAATAAAAATTTCTCTTCAAACGATAAAAGTGATTTGATATGTTAATTACAAAATCTCGAAGTAATTAAAAATAAATTGCACGTCGCATCTTAAAGCCTTTTAAACTCCCCTTTCGTAATTAATTGGTAATCAAGAGGCAATTAATGAGTATAAAAGCAATTACAACACACCCGACGCGCGTAGAGCGAGACAGAGTACAAATAACCGGACATCTGCCTATTAACACACAAATTTAACCAAATCGGTTAACCCGTAACCAAACAATAACAGCTTTTCCAACTGACCGCCTCTACCATTCTTTTGACACTTTAAACCTTCGTCCAACAATCTAAACTCGACCGAGTTTTATTGAAATAGAATTTAAATTTGAACAAAGGACACGTATTACATACCACGTTTAAGTATTACATTATCCGCCGTCAATGTTAGTGTCGTCCTCTTTACACTTTTACAAATCTCGCTCGCTCTCATCTCAGGTGTAGCGACGGTTGCTAGGGGGCGTTGCAAGTCGTGACGTCACGCGCTCCGTCCAATCACAACGCGAGCTTAGGTCTTTTTTATTCTCAAGACTGGAGTCCTTTGTACCCATTTCTTTTGTAGCGCGTCTCGCAGCCGCTGGAGGGTTGACGGGCCGCCGCTACGTTAAGGGACCCACTCTATTATACTTTTTTGACAGCCAAATTGGCTCGAATATTCACAGATTAGATTATGTTCGGGTGAAGGCACAAATCTATGTCATTTTGAAAATGTTGTAGGTTATTTTATAACAGTGTCGTAAACGAAAACTTTTATTTTTATTATATTTTATTTTTAGGTAATAATTAGTTTATTTTTAAGTTTTTATTAAAGAAAAGAAACTTACCAATGCATTCACATATATAAAAATAATTTGAAGGCTGCTTTTGCCTGATAATTAAAAAAAAATAATAATTTCGTGTAAATCCCGTAGTAGGTACTTATAACGTTTTCTTTTTTAATTTAGTAGTGCTGTTTTTCGGTTTAAAGGTTATAGAGAGCCAGTTTGATTGCAGGCTGTAAACCATTCCATGTTAGTTATAAGAGGTGACACCGCTGGTTGTAGACTACAGTAGCCATTTACCATCAGATGGACTAGAAGTATTTTGTCACTTGAAAAAAAATATCTTTTTTTGTATAAAGTTGTTTATTATTTTATATATAGAAAATATTACACGTATGGATGGATAAAAATATATTAAAAGATATTGATGAAAATTCAACTTATTAGGATACAACAATAGTATCTAGATATTTCTCTGAAGCCTATCTCTTAAAGTTATAACCTATGAGTACCTATGTACCAGGCTTCCTATTAGTTACCTCGGACCTGAACCCTTAGATTATGTCTGAATTAAACAAAATACAGTAAGTATTTGTATATAAATAAAAAAACTAATGTCCTCCAGACTGATTTTCGGTCGCGGTGGCTAGTCTCAACGGAGATCGCGCAGGACTGGATTATAGTACCCCAGTGTATGTGCAAACACAGATGCACTGTCCATTCCCTCACTCTAATATTTAAATAGGGTAATCAGACAAGATTGGAGAGAGCTCAGGCGCACGACCAATGGCTTTACGTGCTTTCCGAAACAAGGAGGTGAGACACCGCCAACTACCTGACTGCTATTGAGAGTTTCTTGACAAAGAAATTCAATAACTGATTTTGGCCCGACCCAGGATCCGAACCCGGGACCTCATGAGCAGCGGTCGCTTTTAAGACTACTAGAACAACGAGGTACAAAAAAATGTACCTATGCTTAAATACAAACATGAACATTATCTTAAAAATGATATGTACTAACAAGCTCCATATATTTATCGTCCTTTTCATATTGGATCATACTCAAGTAACCGAGGGGTATAGTTTTTTATATAGAGCCACGTTGCAGCTATATTATAGTTGTAGCACGAGTGGGTCGGCTCGGCCGGGGAAGGACCACGCTCTCACAGAATACCATCGTAAAATAGCAGCGTAATGCTGCTGTTTTGGTAAGTGTAGAGAACTGGACACCCTTTTTATTGGAATTGAGCCATCCCGTCTTAGTCCTCAGGGATGGCAACGCATCTGTATTTTGATTTAATTGACTTAATTCAGGATAAATGTGGATGTATATGTGCCACAGCATCCACTTACCGTCAGTTGAACTGTGTGCTCGTTTGTCACCCAATGCTATAAGAAAAAACTGTGCTATGCTATTAGAAGCTCAAACGATCACAATAAAAATACCTGCCGATGACGAACACACGATGAAACGATAGTAGGTTTAGTAGATTTTAAAAAATATATAATAGTTTAAAATACTTAAACAACACACATTGATCATGGGTTGTGATGATCCTGATAATTATTTTATATTGTCTGATTAAGATACTAGGATAAATTCAATTATTGGACTGTTATCGGTTTTTGATAGGAATGCAAATTTTCAAGTCAATTTGTCAAAGCCATCTCAAAATCACAAGTTGGTGAAAATTGCGTTAAAAATTCCGTTACATAGATAGAGAAATACTCGTTAAGCTAATAAAATCCTGTTTATAATTACATTTGCTAAACTAAATTTTATTTTCTTACGTTGAAGAAATATTATATGTATGTATTTCATTTAGTTTCACTAAATGTACCAAGTTAGCTCGGAGGCTTATTTTTTATTTATAGCTAGTGGCTACCCCGTACTAAAAGCACATTTCCGAGGGGTACTATTTGATCTACGCCCCTTGCAAAGAGTAAAGCCATGCTGAAGTTATATTAGTAGTATAGTTGTAGCACGAATGGGTCGGCTCGACCGGGGAAGGACCACGCTCTCACAGAATACCAGCGCGAAATAGCAGCTTAATGCTGCTGTGGTTCGTATGATGAGTGTAGAGAACCGGAGACCCTTTTTACTGGAAACGAGGCATTCCATCTTGTCCTCACGGGTGACAACGCATTTGCATTTTGATTCGTTATCGAGGATAGGTGAAGTTGTCTATCGGCCACAACATTTTAAAATATTTGCCACAGTTGCCACGCTTGACAAGCGGGTTGGCAACCACATTTTTTATTTTTATTGAGTTTTTATTTTAGTAAATACTTTATACTCCACCAAATTGAATCTATCAAAAAAATCTAATCTAATATCTTTTGACGTTTTACATTAATCATTTCGCAAAGACTTTGTACAATCGTACATATAGAATTTAAAAGTAATTATCAAGTCATCTATATTTCATTACAACTTAGTCTTTCAACCAAAAAAAATGTAAAATTAAACCAATTCAACTTTTTCTTTAATGATATTTACCTTACCACTTACGGTAGTGTTTGGATGATTAAAATGCATGCTAATGCGAATAATCGGTAAAAATATTCAAATAATCGAAACCTTACGTTATGTAATTTATTATTTGTTTATTAAACATTTTATTTTTAGAGTTTTTTATAATTTCTGTGAATTCTTCTGGGTCGAAATTGCGAGGAAATTTGTAAGATGCCGGCTTGTACAATAACAATTGACGAACGCAGAATTATTTATTCAGAGACATGAATGCAAAGAATACATTTCAAGGAAAAATTGAAAATATAAGCAATTGGGACAACTTCACATTCATTGATGAAGCATGGCTGAGACAAATGACACTTGCCCGTGGTAAAAGACGCCTCTTAATTTGCCACGTGGGATCCCCCGGAGGAGGACTTGTAGAAAATGCAACAAGGGATTATTGGGGACACAGATTATTGTTATGGATTACTATGAAAGAGACATTAATTTCGAATGCATAATAGAAAATGAAATAATAATTAATATAAACCACGATGATGAAAGTGAAAGTTATTAAATAAATTTGTTTTTATACAGTTTTTATGTATCACTATATAAGTTTGTCTCTAGAAATAAGCAGTAAGGAAATAATATGAAAAACTGATATATTTTGTGTTTTGAGTTATTTATTCCGGTATTTATCTAGATAAAACTGTAAGTGATTAGCTACACTAAAATAACAATATAGATTTATTTTGAAAATCGGATATTGTAGCATTTTTCAGTTATAATGCCTACTCCAATAAATGTGATAGCTGTCAAAAGGTATTTTTTTAGATTAGGTATTCCGCCAAATAATTGCCCACTGGTGACGCTGCTGGGAGGAGCTGATACATATTGGCGCACTAATGACAGAAGACCATGACATTTCTGTGCATTTCATTTCCAGCACATAAAGTGATCCTTATGTAGAAGCAATCGTATTGCCGTTCAAATGTTTCAATCAATTTTCTGTAATACAAGTTGGGGACAAAGAAACAGAAGCGGCTATAAAAAGGCGTGCAGAATATCCGCAGCTGCGGAAGTAGTAGTGGAGGTCTGTTGCATCACTAATTTTAAGTGAGAATATCCACTACATCATTTCATTCCGTAAGTGTAGTGAGAGGCGATACAGGGAAACTAACCAGGAGATGAGCAGCAGCATCCTGCTGATCCATAGGTACTTAATATACAAAAGTAACTATCAGGTGCATGTCTATACAAAGTATATTTTTTCAACGAAATGATTGAGTGATACT